GCATTAATAGTTTTCTTACAAATATTCAAAAACAAAAGGTCAAATGAATATAGATATGTCAACAAATTTTAATTTTGTTAGAATTTTGGCAATATAACACGATCCTATGTGATCCATGTTTTTTTTTTATCACCTTCTTTCATTTTCATTTCTAGAATTTCCACAAAATTTCTAGTTAGTTTGGAGCTTTTGAGATCCTTTGACTTGTTATTGTTCAACGTCCGACACAATGTTATTAGATAGAAGCTGTCTTCCATCTTCCGTAGTCAACATCATCCTTGACTCTGTTTTAAGTAATAGACTTTTTCATCTTCTTCCATAACTTTCATTTTCTTATATTAATATTATAATCTTCTTTCGCACTTGCATATTCACGAATTTGTCTCCTTCGATTCATTTTGATTCGGGTAAGCAAGATTTTGATTCGTTTTTTTGTTTTCCACTAATCACACAAGTTACACCGTTTATGTTTCATAGCTTAATCTTTGACCTAAGATCTTTGTTTATTCATAGCTTCTTTTTTTTTGCATAGCTTTGTGTTTGATTTGGATCTATATATAGGCCTCTCTAATGGATTTCTTATCTTTATATATGCTTCGATCTGCTTCGATTTCACGATATATGCTTCGATCTGCGATATATATATATAGTAGAGAGAGATTGACTTCATGTTATATCAAACAGCTTAGAAGTTTTTCTTGCGTCTTCTTAATCTGTCTTAGACCTAGTGTGTTGTTTTGTGTATATATCTTTCAAGTTGTGCTTTGTTGTTTACGGCTTGGCTTATCTCTCAAAATCTCTTTATTCCGGCGGATACTAGAGCAAATATATTTTAGTTCCCTTCGCAATGTCAAATTCGAGCTCATGATCTTGGGACTCATTAAATTTGAAAGGTGACCTAATATACCAGAAGAATTACACGTGATGTGTAAATTTCATCTTTTGTCTGAAAAGGTCTTAATTTTACTATGCATTGATGGGAAATAATCTCTTGTTCTTCTTTTTGGCAGATCAATGCCTAGCCGAAAAAACACACATTGGTGCAATACTTGTAGACGAGGAATCCGTCTTCAAGGAGAAGAAGGCAGAAGAGGAAGAGGAGCTTGCATTCATTGTGGTAACACCTTTCTTGAAAAGCTATATGAGAATGTTGATCTAAACCCTTTTGATTTATTCGGATTAGACATCGAAGAAGCTCGTAACCATAGTCGCAACAACCAAAGACCGATTCTTGAAAACCAATTGAGTTTTCGAGAGTTGTTTAACCGACTCTCAGCACAAGACCGTCGTGGTCCTCCTCCAGCTTCACCAACCACGATTAACTCAATGCCAAAGATCAAAATCAAGCAGAAGCATCTCGGTTTGGATATGTGTTGTCCGGTTTGCCAAGATCGGTTTGAAATCGGATCGGTTGCAAGAAAGATGCCGTGTAAACATATCTACCATTCGGGATGTATAGTACTTTGGTTACTCCAGCATAATTCTTGCCCAGTCTGTCGCAAAGAATTGCCACAAGACCGGAATTATGGCCGCAAAAATATGTTGTTGGACATGTGGCCGTTCAGCTCCTTTGGTTCGGCCTCAAGCCAAAATATATCACATTTTCATTGAAATGCGTTTGTGTCAACAATCCATATAACAACGATGTTGTAGGNATCTTATACGATATTTGAAACCTATCTTTCTTTCATATTTCACGATTGATACACAATTTTTTTAATCTATAATAATGTTAATTAAAAATGTTATTTTTGTAACTAATAGTAGTAGAATTGATCAATTAGTTACGGTAGTTCGGACTCTTCAACACTCTTTTGTCGGTGGTCTTACCCAAACTACCAACCCTAAATAAAAAAAAAATTCCAGTTTGTCAAGTTGGATAAAGATAACAATGATCATAATTATTTAAAAATACCAAAATATTAGGGAACATAAGTGAATTAAGGAAATAAATATATGGCAAATAAAGTGTGTTAAGAAAAAAATACACGGTTTGTTTAATAATGGTAATACAAAGAAAATCTTCAGATACTCAAATCCTTCTTCGGCCCGAAATTTATTATAATCAGAAATTAAAAAAAAAAAAAATCACTTCACTCTCTCCGTTTTGCGTTTTCTTTGTTTAAATCCAGAATTAAGAACAAAAACCTCGAATTCGATTTTCATAAGCTGAATTCGAAAGTACCCTTTTGTGAAAATTTCTTCATTTCTCTGGATTTCTGGGGATTTCAGATTCGTTAGCTCAATCTGGTGAATTAGGGTTTTTTGTTGAGCTGTGGAGGAAGAAGATTAATGATGGGTGTTGTACCCACCGATTGGGAAGGTGGGATTCGCTGAAACCTTAGTTGCTTTGTCATGGGTAAATCAGAGGATGATGGGAACCTCCACCGCACCGGCGATGAAACTGTCGGCGATTCGCCGGAGAGGAATGCTATTCGGTGTGGTTGTTGTGAATGGATCTCGAGGTTTTTTGGGTTCAAATGTTTCTTCGTGCTGCTTCTCTCCGTCTCCTTGTTTATTTCGGCCTTGTTTTTGTTGTTTCCGTTTCCCATGGATCGTGAGAATTCGAATCTCGATCCCAGATTTAGAGGTAATTCTTCATTCATTCAATTTGGTAGTTCCTGAATTCCTTCAATAATGTCAATTTTTGTGCTGTAAGTGTAAGTTATATGTCATGAATTTGGTTATACTTCAGAGAATTTCCTATTTTTGGAACATTGATTTGGGTCTATGTTTCATCCTCTGTGGTAATTACTACAAATGACTAAGCTATTTTGGAAATGTGATTTGACTATGAGTCGTGCTTTAATGTAGAGTCAAAACTGCTTTCTCTTTCAAGCTTTGAGATAGTGAAAATTGTTCAAAATAAGTGTTCTCAATGGATTGTTTCATTAGTTATTGTTAAACCTACCTTAATAGCTTCTTAGCTTATCCTAAAACCTATCTTGACTCTTAATGTGTGTTGGTTCCTAAAGTTGTGTTGTCAGATGATTTTTTTTGCATAGATTAGAGTTGCTTGTTTAAGCTATTTGAGGTTTTGGCAAATTTTGATTAATGCATTTTAAGTTGAAGCTGTTGGTTATTGACATAGTGGTGATTTTTTCATGAGGAGTTCTAAATTTAGTGTTTCGGTCTTGACGTCGAGATATCTGTGAATTATACATGATTAATGAACATAAGACAGCTTCTTATAACTAGGATATGTTTCTCACATTTAGCGCGATATGCTTTCACTCTTGATGCAGGTCATGCTATCGTAGCAAGTTTTAGCGTCTATAGACCGGCTTCTTTTCTAAATGAAAATATCTTGCAGCTTAAGAGTGACATCTTTCAAGAGATGAGCTACATTTCGATAAACGTATGGTGTTTCATTTCTTCCCTAACCTTTTATATTATTTCTGATTCCACTTATCATCTCATTTCTCTTCTGATCCAACTTGGTTCAAATGAAACAACAGGTAACTATCCTGGCTATTGAACCGTCAGATGGATTGAACATAACAAAGGTTGTGTTTGGAATTGACCATCATGTGGGATACCGAGAAATATTACCTCTGTCCTTGAGTTCTATCAAAGAGATGTTCGAATCGGTGCTCATAAATCAGTCCACTCTCCAGCTTACAAAATCCTTGTTTGGGGAAACCTTTCTTTTTGAAGTGCTAAAGTTTCCAGGAGGAATCACTGTGATTCCACCGCAAAGTGTTTTCCCTCTGCAGAAATTCAAGATTGTTTTCAACTTTACCCTAAACTACTCCATTCATCAGATACAGATAAACTTTAATACCCTTGCCAGTCAACTAAAGCATGGGCTGAATCTCGCACCATACGAGGTTTGTCATTTTTTACCAAAATTTTTCCTTTTCTGAATCTTGCATTTTGAAGTTAACGTTTGCAAGAGTGATTGCCTTGAGTTAGATTGTTCTTATCACTGATTTTTTTTTTTCTGAATGCAGAACTTGTATGTAAGCTTATCGAACTCAGAGGGGTCGACCGTGTCTCCTCCTACAACTGTTCACTCATCGGTTTTGCTAAGAGTCGGAACTTCCAATTCAAGCCCAAGGTTGAAACAACTGACAGATACCATCACAGGTTCACGCACGAAAAACCTCGGCCTGAATAATACTATATTTGGTAAGGTCAAGCAAGTTCGTCTATCGTCTTTCTTGCCAAACAGTAGTGATAGTAGCTCCAAATCT